TTTTTTTTTTTTCAGCTACAGTAACCTGCCAAGACATCTCACAGGAAACTCATTGGAGGGTGAGGTAGGGGGTGTGCTTAATGCAGACAGATGTAATGGAAATGTCATCTCAATCTGTCAAGCTTCTCTAGAGCTAGCAGCCGCGTTGAGGATGGTGAAGGCTGTGAAACATTGTTAGGCTATTCATGTTTACCATAGGCCCCAAGTAGTTTTTCATCACACCTGTCCACCACCTTGTTCTCCCTTCTTTCCCATGCTTAGGAATCCAGCTCTCAACATGACAACCTGGAATTCTTCTCTGAAAGAGGAATCATCCTATTGCTGCCAGCAGAAACAGTACCAGACTGTGCCACCAAATTTAGAGGCAGGGCAGCCACGTCTGTAAAGGGCACTCAAGCGAGCTAACACGTGGCCCTCTTGACACTCTGCAAGTGCTGTCCCCTCTGCCTGGAATGCCTTTCTCCCCTCTACCTGAAGAATGCCCATGCAGAAGCTAGCCTGAAATGTGAGCTGCTCCATGGAGCCTTCACAGTACTGCCCGGGCAAAGTGGGAGATCTCCCTCTGTGCTTCAGTGGCCATCTCTGCAAACCCTCACCATGGTGCCTCTCCTCCTTGGACGGCAATTGTCCATCTCTCCTCTTACAGTGAGAATTCCTGAGGGCAAGAATCATTGTTATCCCCAGTGCTTAACACTGTGGCTGTATAGAGGAGATGCTCGTATGATGAAGGAAACTGCCATCAAAGACGGGGCAAGAGGATTGAGTCACAGGCAGAAGAGGGGGAGAGAAACGCCCAGGTTCGTGAGGTGAGATGTGCCCCAGTTTTTGCCCACCACAGTTTCTCTTATGTCAAAAGTGTGGGCCCAGACCCTAAGGCCACTCTCACTGCTGGGGCCTCTGTGGCTAACCTGGGAGACATCTTTCCCTGTGGGCCCAGGGGACCCTGCACACTCTGGATCAGAGGGTGGAGGAAAGGAAACCGATGTCAGCCGGGTGCTGTGCTGGGTATGTTATGAAAAGCATCTCAGGCCACCCTGACCACCACCTGGCTGGGCAAGTGTTTATGTCTATGTGTTCCGTGTGTCCTTAGCTCCCCTTTTCTCTCTTTTCCTGCCCTCTTGGGACTGAGCATTTTCTCAGTCTTCCATTTTATTATCTCCACATTGACTGACTAGCTATGCCTCTGTTTAAGCTTTTAACTTTTTAGTGGTTGCTCTAGGGCTTATAATAGGCATATTTAACTATTATAGTCAAGGTAGGTATTCTAACTTCAAAGTACAGAGCAGGAAACCAGAATTTAGTATAAAGTAATTTTGGTAACAAGGTACAGCTTAGAGACAGTGGCTCCTTTAATCAGTTGTCTCTGAAGTCTGAATTTTCCATCATTATCATCCCAAATTGAGAACTTATTATTTTTCAGCCAAGACAACTTAGAAGGGACTTGTGAATGGCTTTATCTGTGTGTCAGAAACTCCCAAAGTGCAATCCAAAGGATGTGTCCAGTGAGATATTAGGATTTCATGGTGGAAAGGGGTTTTCATGGTCAAACAAGTTTAAGAAATAGCAGGTAAACATATTAGACAGTCCTCAACTACGGGACTTCTCAGGGCTTTTCATAAACTAAAATGTATTACAAAGATGTAATAGTGGTGGTGGCCCTTATAAATTTATGTATTGCTATAACCATTTTTTCCCCCAGAGCATTCACTAATTAGTATTTTTTCAAATATACTTTGGAAAATGGTGCTCTAAGAGAAAGTCAGCGTTTCCTGTCATCTCATACCAGCTTTCTCAAGGAAGATTAAGCCTCACTCGGTGACCAGAGCAACTTAGTGTGTCCCAAGCCCTGAATGAGCCCCGATCCTCACCTGTCATGAAGCACTTGATGTCCTGAGAGTTACTGATGGGGTTGTTGTTTTTAAACATATAGAGATTGAAAGGCATGATATTGCTGCTACTAAGGTGCTTCCAGAGCTCGTGGTCCGGGCTGGTCCAGCGCCCAGCCAGCACATCATAATCCCGGCGGCCCATGTGGACCAGCTTGGTGAGTGGATCATAGAGGCCGCCATGGTAGCCAATGATGATCTGGAAGTTGGGGTTGGTGTCCATGTAGATCTCCCCGTAGGCTGTGTACAGGATCTGCTTGATCATCAAGCCTGTTCCACTGAAGACAGCAAGAGGGGTCCCAATGTTGTCACAAGCTATGTAAAACTCATCGCCGCTGCTCAGCTCCATGGCAAAGAGGTGTCCTTGCAGGTCGTAGTAGAGGGACGTGATCTCAGAGCTGGAGTGGTTATAGAGGTGGGTGACCTTGGTAGGGTTGGTCAGGTCTGCGTAGAAGAACTGCAGGTGGTGGCTATGGCTGCTCTTGCTGGACACCCGCCGCCCTAGGCCATCATAGCGGTACCTGACACTCCAGCCACCAGCCCGGTTGTAGGCCTTGATGAGCAGGCCAGCTGAGTTGTACTCAAACACGTCACCACCACGCTGCCGCAGGAAGCCATCCTCGTCCATCCTGTACTGCACATCACCCAGCCTAGTGATGCGGTCACGGAGGTCATACCGGAGTGGTGTGAGCCGTGCACTGTTCCCAGGGCTTAGTAAGTGCAGGTTCCCGTTGAGATCATAGCTATAGCGCCAAAGTGGCTTGTCATTGATGGAGACTGTCTGCAGCTGGCCGTCAGCATCATACTCATAGGAGTAGCGGGTAGTGTTGGCATAGGGTCCCACCTTCAGCTCCTTCTTCACAACGCGCCCCATGTTATCATACTGGACAGTCATCCAGTACATGAGTGAGCGGAAAATCTCATACTGCACTTCCTTCATCCTGCCATACGCATCGAAGTGCTTGGTGTGGGTCATGACTGCCGTGGTAATGATCTGGTTAATGTCATAGTAGATGACGCCAAACTTCCCGAACTGCTCTGTCTTGCCTGACACGTCATCATAGCGATATAGATCAATGGGCAGTGGGGTCTCATTGATCACGGCCTGCATGCTGGTCACCCGAAAGCTGTTGTCATAGTTGTAGTCGAAACGGGCATTGACCATGCCTTCCTCGGTGAAGCGGAAGATCTGCCGGTCGATCAGGGGCCCAATTTGACGGTAGCGGATGGTGCAGGTGAAGCCCTCGTTCTGCAGGTTGACAGTCTTCAGCATGCCTGCTGTCTCGTCATAGGTGAAGCTCACCTTGGTGGTGTCGTACAGTGTCTCGACCAGCTTCGACAGCTTGCCATACTTGTATATCACCCTGCGGCCGGTGCCCAGGTAGAAGGTGTGGAGCAGGTGCCCATCCTCTGTGAAGTCCTGGATGACTGATGCATTGCCCTCAGGGGGCTGGTAGATGTTCCTGTAGTAGCCCACTGAGCGCATGGTCTCCAGCGTCTGCCGGGCCACGTTGGGCATGGTCACAGAAGAGAGGCGGTCGTTCTTGTCGAACTCAAAGATATATTGCCTCTGGCTGTGCAGCAGCAGCACCATGGACTGGAGGGAGGGAGAGAGAGGAGAGCGGTGAGGAGGAAGGTAGCTAAGATATATAGCAGCAGAGGCCCAGGAAATCCGTGGTCCTGAGCTGTGCCCAACCCGGCTTCCCAGCTAGTGCCATGAACACTGAGAATAGGTTTCAGATATGCTAGTGACTAGGGCTTCACTCAGCTCTGAGGGTGTGGCAGGGCCCAGGGCCCCACTCAGGTCATTTTGCTGTTCTTTGCTGCCCAGCCTTGCTCATTTGCCCCTTTGTGTCACCAGGTGTAACAAAGGTTGGGAAGCACAGGCCCCAAGTATTTACACCAGCCTCCCTTCTGGCTTCCTTGTTTTAGACTTCTCAAATCGACCCTCCTACTCAAGCAGGAATGAGTTCCCCCAAACAGTCTGACAATGTCTTTTACCTTCTAAACAGCTTCTGCAGACTCCCTGTGGCTGAGGGTATATGATGAAGTTTGAGACGGGCAGGGCGTTTAAGGCACTGCACAATAACATTTGGAGGTAAATGCCCACTCTGGGTGAGGGCAGGGCCTGTTTTGAACAACGGACCCATTGTGTGGCCTTGGGAAAGTTCTTCTCTCCGGGTGTAGCCTTTCACATTTTAGATGACCTCCAGGGCCTACTAGTGCGGAACATTGCAGGGAGGCTTACCATAGAGGGTAGACCCTGGGCCCTGGACAGGTAGGGGAGGAAAACAAAGCAATAGTTCTGGGGTGGGAAGGGCATACTTCCTCAGGAAAAAAACCAGCCGGTAACAGGCTTCTTGGGCTCAAAGCTACAATTTTCACCTATTTGGAGCCAACTTTTTCATTTTAGAGCAGTTCTGATTCTTAGCCCCTAGGATGAAATGAACCCTGACCTGAAGCAGAACGGATTTACTAAGGCCATGCCCAGCCCTGAAAGCTGGGGATTAAGAACTCCTTCCTTCTGATTGGTCCCAGGTGTTTGTCTGGCTGTCATGACTGGATGGCACCCTGTGCCCTAAACTGGGGAGCTATTTCTATTTCTGCTCCCAGCTCTGCTCCGTCTGGCAGGCCTTTTGTATTCTCCTTCCCTAGAATCCCTACCCAGCCCACTGTCACCGTGATCCCTCCAGATGCCTCTTGGGGACTCCCTGGCCTTCGGTGGCATGTTTTCCTGAACATTTCCTTTCAGAGACCACATGGGTCAGATAAATCCCACTAAGGTCAGTAGGCTGGGCCTGGCCATGGTTTGAGCTCCCGTGATGGGGGCAGACAGACACTTGCCTTCTCTAAGTACGTGTAGCTCCACGTCTTCCCATCAGCAAAGATCCTAGATGTGATGCGCCCTGACTGGTCATATTCCATTCTCTCAGACATGATGCCCCTCTGGATGCCAGCAATGTGGCCCCCAGGGGAGTAAGTCACGTTGACACCATTCAGCCTGCTGCTGGGTGACCAGAGGCTGGGCCGCCCTGCCTGGTCATACAGGATCCGAAGGGTGAACTTGCGGTGGTCATCGTAGATCTTCTCTGTGCGCGTCACACGGTCAAAGTCCAGCGACAGAAGGTTTCGGTTGTGAACCTGGAGAAGGAGAAGGATGGAAAGAGCAAATCACTCTGGATGTTAAGAGTGTAGGTCTGACGGCACCGGGGCTCTCAGCTGTGCTGAGGGGGGCCCGAGTGCAGGAAGCAGCACAGGTCCCGGGCATCAACAGACCTGGGCGGAGTGCCAGATCTGCCACTTGAGAGCTCTGTGAAGTTTCCTCATCTGTAAAGTGGGAATAAGAATAACGCCAACTGCATAGGCCTAAAGACAGTGCTGATGCAGAGCAAATAATAGCTGTGAGAGAAGAAGGACCCCCCATGATTTTCTAGTGTAACAAGAATGTATAACAAGGATGTATAAAAAAGGGCAGTTCCCTCTTCAAAAGGGAGCCACCAAGTGAGCCCAGCAAATGAACACCTGCCTGTCTATCCTATGCCAGACACTGCCCATGCCTGACACTGAGGGAAGTGAAGCCACTTGCTCTAGACTGCGGCTGGTGACTAAGTCTGGACTTGACTCTCACTGCTGCAATGTGCCAGCAACACCCTGTGGTCCTCTGAATAAACCCTCGCTTTCTGGGGGCTCGGGACTTCCTGTCCCCTCTGTGGTCTGCCTTGTTCTTGCCACCACCATCAGGCATCCCAGTCAGTGCCCAAGACCTCTTCCACCTGGAGGTGCTTGGAGGCAGTGGGTGTTGAGCCTGGGTGGCTCCTCAGGCCGTGGGCTGCCTGGGGACACAGTCCTGGCTCTGTCGCACATTGTTCCTGCCTCGAGGGTCAGGAGCCCCTTGTCCAATCCCCACCTGCAACTGCTAGGTCAGTGCACAGTTCAATTTCTTTCCAGAGTCAAAAAGATACAGCTCCCAGGGCAGCACCTGTGGCTCAAAGGAGTAGGGCACCAGCCCCATATGCTGGAGGTGGCAGGTTCAAACCCGGCACCAGCCAAAAAAATTGCACACACACACAAAATCTGCCTCCCACAGAGGTAGGACTAAGGTGGGGTCATCATATTTGATAAAGAAACATCCCACAGGGGCCTCTTTTTGGATGTGGATCTTCCCCGTAGGCGCTGACTACCAGGAAGCACTGCCGGGTACTCTGGAGCTAGACTGTGGGTTCCTGCTAATTGGAGCCTGGTCTCATGGGGCATGTGGGCACGTTTTCTGTCTCTCCCACTAGTCATTGGGTGAGTCTGACAAGTAGTAAGGAAGACTCAGGAGGAAAGCAGATAATTAGGTCATGTGATGCACAGTGGCACCTGTGGACTTAGGTGATGAAAAGCCTTCTGTGGCCCTGCATGGTCCTAAAAGGGGCCTAGGTCTAGGAATTAAGGCAGGAATTCCAGCCTCAACTCTGTGACCATCTTTTCTGTGTGACCTTGGGCAAGGGCCTTCCCTTTCTGAGTCTCAGTTTCTTTCTCTGTATCACAGCAGAGTTCTGAGGATAGAAGAAACTTAAGTAGGTTACTTTGTGCAATGCTAGACACATAGAAGACGCTGAATAAATGGTGGAATTATTTCCATTACATGACAGCAAATAATCATGTCATTTTCCAAAGAAAGAGAGACATGTGTGTTTCCCCCTTCTCCCTATACAAATTCTAAGGCCTTGAAAATAAAGATTTATAATGATGATGCTGAGATGACTTTAGCTGTGAATGGCCTGGTTATAATAAGGTTCCCTTCCCTGGGGTAATCAAACACAATTGCAGAAGCAAAAACAGTGTGGCAGACAATTCCCATGAAAAATCAGAGGCATTGAAGACTGAAGCTGTATTCTTTGCAGAGGGGGTAGAGGAAGATACAGGGGCTATGGTACCAACAATACGGGGGCCTTTTAAAAGCAGCTTTTGGAAGGTCCCCCTACAACTCTTCCCAGGATGGTGCCACCAAGCCAGCTGCCCTTCTCATCCCCTGGAGGACCACCAGTGAAGGGGAGCTGTACCTTTGTGGCAAAATTAATATAATTAAATTAAACAGCTCACTGGGGAGCCACCTAAAGCTTCCTGTGTTCGGCAGTGATGGCAATGAGGTTCTTCTACATCTTTCTTTATTAAAAAAGTTCCCAGTTGTATAAAAAATGAGCTCCATTATGGGAAGGCATACTCTGCTAACATTCTAATTCCACATGCTGCCACTGTGGGTGGCCATTTATTTTGGGAGGACACGTAGATGTGGCCACCTGATGAGAGCACTATCAATCTCTGGCTGGGAGAGGGACCAATTAAAGCCTGGGAAACTTTTGGTCCAGTTCACACAGCAGAGAGGAAACCCTAATAGTACTAATCACTGCCGTTTATCGTGCACCAGGGGCCTACGAGCACTGGACCAGGTGCTTCGAATGTATTATCTGGTTTCTGCAGAGGAGAGTTGCTGAAGGCTCAGAGGAGTTGCTCAAGGATACGTGCAGCCCAAACAGGGTTCAAACCCAGGTCAAACCCTCCATGGAGTACCTGCCTCAGATGTGCAGGAAGGGCTCTTTGAGAATTCAGACGGGGGACCCAGGCCACACAAAGACAGCTAGGCCTTGCTCACAGAACTAGTGGGAGGCTGTTTTCCATATTAGATAGTTGCTACTATTCTTAGTTGAGTTCTTAGCTGCTGAGGGCACAAAGGAAGCCTCGTTTTCTGAGTCCTAATTATGTGGTATGGGACAAGTCACTTAATGTTTCTGTATCTGTTGTGGGCCCGTTTTCTACTTTTTATTATTATCTTAGCGACGTGACTCTGGGAAAATAGCTTACCCTCCCTGGACCTTGGTTGCTCCATGTATGAAAACAAACTTAAATGAACTTCCTTTGCTGAAGGGTGGGTGAAGTCCGAGCTGTGTTGGTATGAGGATGCTCCTGTGGCTTTTATAACATTAGGAACCACTAGCTCAGTTCTGTGGTTCACTTTTGCTTAGCAAATAATCTCCTGAGCACCTGTGGACTGCAAGGTGCTGTGCTGAATGCTGGGCCTAGTTCATTAGCTTTCCCTCTGCCTATCACCTTCCCTTCTTAAGCTGGGGGAAAAGTAGCTGGGCAATCAGGCCCTGGAGCAGATGCCACACTCTACAGAAACACGGGATGCAAGGCAGAGATGGAGCTGGTCAGGGAATCCACATACTAAAAAGCACTCTGAATGCCAGCCCCCCTGCAGTGACAGCTAGGGTGAAGTCATTTTGCTCATTTAGGAAGGCTAACTCTTCCTGAAAAGAGTAGAGAAAGCGGACTTGTGTTCTAAATAGCTAAACTGAATTTTGGACAGCAATAGTAATAATAACTATAACAATGGGAGGAGGAGGAAGAAAAGGGCAAAAAACCTATCTAAAGGTACAATGAACACGATTGGGGTGATGGGCAGAACTATAGCTATGACTCACGCATTACAAAATGTTCCATGTAACCCAAACCACTTGTACCTCCTTAATATTTTGAAATAAAAAGTCATCATCATAATAGCAATAACAACAACACCAATAGCTATTATTGACCTCTTATTATGAGTCAGACTCTGTATAAGATATTTTAAATATTACTTCTAATCCTTACAGCCATTTGTAAATTGGTTTTATCCCTTCCATTTTATGGATAATGAAAATGAGGCTCTAAGATTATCGACTTGCTGAAGTTCACTCAGGATATAAGCTGGAAATTCAGCTCAGACCTAACAGCAAAGCCAGTGTCTTTCTGCAAGTAAAAACTGGAAAGAGCTTCTTATGACATGTGGTTCCATGATTTAGTTTCCCCCTTTTGCAGATGGGATAACTGAGGTCTGTTTCCAAAGATTCCCATCCTCCTTTCCCTAAGGACACAGCTGCCTCCAGAGGCCTCGCTTACTCACCCGCAGCCGGCGCCCAAAGACGGTGACCTGGCCCCGAGCCTGCTCCTTGCGCTGCCGCCACTCCACCAGGTTTAGGCCGTTGTCAATAGGCAGGGTGACGTTCCTCTTGCCCACGGTGGGGTTGACAGTGCCAGCCAGCAGGTGGGGCTCGGTCTGCAGTGCCACCTCCATGCCATTGGCTAGCAGGAGCCGCAGGGAGCCATCCGCTCCAATGTAGTAGCTGTTCCGGACTTGATCTGGGGGTAAGGAAGGCACAGACCACTCAGGGAGTGAGGACAGAAAGGGTGTGAAAAAGAAAAAAAAGAAAAGAAAAAAGAAAGAAAGAGTGTGCAGAGCAGAGGTGGTGGCAGGGAGGGTAAAGAGTTTCCTTTTTCTAACTACAGAAACAATACATTAACACTAAAGAAAACTGGGAAAAATATACAGAGAAAGTCACCTGACCTCAGTATGCAAAGAAAATCATTGTAGATATTTTTGTAGACTTTAAGATATTTCCAAATGCACTCATAAAATAATTGCTCATAGAGTTTTTGGCTGATTATTGTATTATATCATGTTATTGAATATTTTTCATAAACATTTTTCTTAACGACTGTACAGTATTCCACTGTATGGGAATACTATAATTTATGTAACCAAGCTTCACAGATATTCAGTTTGTTTCCAGTTTTTCACAATTATAAGTAACTGCAAATACAGTTTATCATTATGCTACGGGAAAGAAATCATATGCAAAAGGCCATGTATTGTATGAGTCCATTTATATGAAAAATCCAGAATAGGCAACTGTGTCGAGACAGAAAGTAGATCAGTAGCTGTCAGAGGCGAGGGGACAGGGAAGAATGTGGAGTGACTGCTAAGGGGTATACGATTTCTTTGGGGGAATAATAAAAATGTTCTGGAATTAGATAAGGGCCATGATTGTAAAACTTTGTAAATATACTAAAAGCCATTGAATTCTGCACTTTAATTTTATGGTATGTGAATTCTATCTCAATTAAAAATTATTTTTTAGATAGATCAATGTTGTCATTTTAGATTTCTTAATCAAAATAGATTCCTAAAAGTAGGACTACTAGAGTGCAAAGTTGATTATTTTTAAGGGTCTTGATGCACATGAGGGTAACAATATTCTTTATAACAAGGTGAAAAAATAACCCTGCCACTTTAGTCACTGAAAGAATGACAAATGTAAATATTTTTTAAATCACTGTTATTCATATGTGTCCTACATATATTGTCATATGTGTATATTGCGTATACATACATGACAATGCTTAAAAATATATCTGATTTGAAATTTTTAATTTGATCAAAACATTTAAATTTAGAGTTTTAGTTAAAAGAAACTTCTAAAGGGAGAAAAAAGCTAATTGCAGCTGTAAAATGCACACTGAATTCTTTTCTAAAAATGGAAACAATATCTTGGGGGGGGTGTGGCACTCTCCTGACTGGTGCCCTTCCTCAAGCTGTTCCTTCTGTCCTGCGCTGTCTCTTCAGTAAATGCTAGCTTCAACCTTTCTAACTACAGAAGCAATACATTAACACTAAAGAAAACTAGGAAAATACATAGAGAAAGTCATCTCTGATGACTTTGCATTTGAGCAAGGCTGTGCTCAAATGTCATATTCTCTCAGAAGCTCCCCCTGTTCCTCTGGTCAGAAGGAACGCCTTCTTTCCCATGCACTCCTCAGCTTCCATACGGGCCTTATCAGGGTGGTCTTGCTGCTGAGGGGTGTAGGGTTCACCACTTTGTTCATGCACTAATTCTCACACGTTTTAGTGCTTGCTGTGAGAGGCATCACTGTGCAGAGATGAAGACCACGGGCCCTGGAGTCAGGTGCCCTGGGTTCCAGTTCCAGCTCTGCTAACCTCATGCTCTAAGACCTTGGCCAAGTTCTTAACCTGTCATGCCTCTGTTGCTTCATCAGTACACTGGGGACAATAACTGCATGCTTGCCTTAAAAGATGCTGTGAGGATCAAGTGAGATAATGAACTTGAAGAGATGAGAACAGTGCTGGCATATAGTGTTACACAAAGGTTGGCTATCACTAGTTTATGTGCCTGGCCCTGTGCTCCTGCTCTCTCTCTCTACACACACACACACACACACACACACAGCCATGGTGACCTTTCCCAGTACTGATCAGGATCCTCCAGGAGCTCCCATTACCTTTAGATCAGCAGTTAAGAGAGTGGGCTCTAAAGCCTATTTGTCTGGGTCCAAATACCCTATCAGCTGTGTGACCTGGGTATTTGCCAGTTAGCCTCTCAGAGCCTTCATCTGGAAAATAGGCATGTTTAATATTGCCTATGTTGGGTGGCGCTTGTGGCTCAAAGGAGTAGGGTGCCAGCTCCATATGCCAGAGGTGGCGGGTTCAAACCCAGCCCTGGCCAAAAATAGCAGAAATAAATGAATAAATAAATACATAAAAATAATAATGCCTTTGTCACAGGCTTATGAGGTACAACTGGAGCTACTGCTTAATAAGACTACTGATGTAAAATGCCGAAAATCCTACTTTGTAGTTAATGAGCACTCCAAAAATGTTACATTGTTATGATTATATGTGCTCAGTAAATATGCACTGGCTTGAACGATACCCATCCTGGGCTACGTCAAGCCATAAAGAGGTGGTTTTGGTAGGAAACCCTCCCTGACTGGTCCCTGCGAGAAAGACATCTAGTCAGCCCCTCTCCCTCACTCCCGCCCCCTCCATCTTTCTCCTTTTCTCTCTCACACATGAAATTCTAAAATCTGCCTCAAAACTTGTTATGCATTATTCACTGACTATATATTTTACCTCCTTTGAACAGTGAAAAAGCCTGTGTGTCAATTTATCTCTGAAAGTGGCTCCTTGCGGAATCCACACATGTCCATTAATGGCGACATGGGAGAGAGCGGCCCCTGCGGAGGCCCATCTCGGATGATCTCCACCTAATGTGGGCTGTGATTTCCCAAGGCTGCTGCTCATTAGTAGCTACTTACTACTTCCCGTAGTTTGACAGAAGAAACTGAAAGGGCTTTACCCAAAGACTCTACTGAGGCGGCTGCTAACCGAGCATCAGAGCCTGAGAGCCGGCAAGGGAAGGCAGAGGCACCAAAGAGGAAAAACAGGTACCTCGTTCCCCGGATCCTGAGATCTGCTTTTTCTTTTCACATTTGAATGTGCCCATGTATGTCTTTTGAGCAGTGTGACTTTTTTCCCTCTTCCTGTGAAGTTGTTATTAAATTTATAACTGAGGAATGTGGCACTTTTGAGTTTTAAAAAGTTGCCTGAATATAAGAGAGCCTGCACCAACCTTTGAGAAGAATACTCCAAGCCAGTTTAGCAGTATGGAATGGCTAGGCGAGACAATTCTTAGTCACCGGAAAGAAAACAGACCCCAAGGCCTAAAGGCCTAGATGTCCCAGTCCCTGGCAGCCTTGTAGTTCTTGTTCAGGAGAATCCGGGCTGACTCAGAAATGGCACCTTGTCTTGGAAATAACCCAAAGTAAACACCTGGGGTGTGTCCCAACCCACCATTAAAGGTGGTAGGTGGGGAAGGAATTGCTGGGTTTGATTTCTTTCTTTTTTTGAGACAGAGTCTCACTATGTTGCCTTTGGTAGAGTGCTATGGCATCACACCCACAGCAACCTCCAACTCTTGGGCTTAAGTAATTCTCTTGCCTCAGCCTCCCCAGTAGCTGGGACTACAGGTGCCCGCCACAATGCCTGGCTATTTTTTGTTGCAGTTGTCATTGCTGTTTTAGCTGGCTGGAGCTGGGTTTGAACCCTCCAACTTTGGTGTATGTGACCAGCGCTGTAGCCACTGTGATACAGGCACTGAGCCTGATTTCTCTTTCTTTGACTGAGACCCTTTCTTGTTCTTTGAGCTCTTTCAAAGGCAAAAGACTACATTTGGGAATAAAAGTGCTCGTAAGAATATACAGACATTTGTAAGTTAAAGTGCTTGGTAATTAATGAATTACTTAATTAATATAAGTACTTACTATGCAATACGCTGTGCCTGGCCCTTGCTAGTCACTTTACATATGTTGTCTAAAGAGAGCATGGGAGCCACTCTCTTAAGCAGGTGTTATAATTCAGCCCCATTTTCCAGACCCAGAAACCAGGGCCCAGAGAACAGGAATGATTCTACCGAGTTCACATAGGTAGGAACAGGCAATAGAAGGCGCTGGGCCCTGGTCAGCCCAGCCCAGGGCCCCTGCTCTTCCCACTGCCTCACATCACTATACACAACTTTAGCAAATTTCTTTTCCTGGAGGAGGAAAGCGAGGGCCACAGTAGATGATGTGGACTGGAATTTGGGGCTCTGACTGTCAGCTGGAGGCTCCTTTATCACTTTATGTTGAAACTGTTGGGAGGGGCAAAAATCAAGCAAGGCTTTCCTTCGTAATGGCTTCTTTCTTTCCAAGCTTACTAAATCAAACAAAGCTGCTCACCCTTCCCCCATCCCATGAGAACAACCGAGGCAGTCAGTTCACAGGGAGATTTCATCACTGTGATTTACCCGGAGCTGAAAGACCAAGCCACACCAGGACGGTTTGAGGAGCTCGAGAAGGGTTTCTTGTCTACGTAGTCTTAGCAGAGAAACAAACCTTCTCACCTGGGCTTCAGGAAGGCTTCTCCATGCCCAAACCCCTTTCAAAATTAGTTGTCATTACTCTTTTTCTTTTTGAGACACAGTCTTACTATGTCGTCCTTGGTAGAGTGCTGTGGTGTCACAGCTCACAGCAACCTCCAACTCTTGGGCTTAAGCAATTTTCTTGCCTCAGCCTCCCAAGTAGGTGCCTGTCACAACATCTGGCTATTTTTTGTTGCAGTTGTTATTGTTGGTTTGGTTCGAAACTGCCAACTTCAGTATATGTGGCTGGTGCTGTAACCACTGTGCTACGGGCGCAGAGCCAAGTTGTCATTATTCTTATCCTCTGTCCTTGCCTGCACCAGTGGGAGCATGAGTCTTTTAATCTGGGAGCCATTAGCATACCATTTTAATCCATAGTGAGGTCCCCTGGATTAGTAGCTAATGGACTCTCTACTTTTGTTCGGATGATAATAAAATATTGCTCTGAAGCTTCCAGGAGAGAATTTACTGGACTCAGGGTGGTATGTTTTGCAATATGTGGCAATACAGAGAGAAACCAATTTTCTGTTCTTGGGTATCTCTGGCAGTAACTTGTTTCTTATATCATCCTTCTCCAAGGTCTTCCCACCTGCCTGCCTCAGCCTCCGCAGGCCCCCACCTGGCTTACCTTGCAGCAGTGTGTAGAAGGCACCCGAGGCAGACAGGTTAGTCGTTATGGTGACATCATCCTTGCTGGAGGTCTCTACCTGGACATGCACTGAACTGTCTGTGTCACTTCGGAAACTGCTCACCTGGCCAGTAGGGAAGGTCACATTTGTCAGCCGGCCAAAGCTGTCATACCTGGAAACCAAAAGGGGGCACTGAATAATAGAAATATAATGATGCTGTACCTTGCACTTGGCGTGTTCTACCTCATGCCATAGTTTAGCATGTTCTGCTTTTCTTTCTGGTCAGATGCAGGTGTATTCTCATGTCTCCCCCATTTCCTTGCAAGACCATAGAATTCTGGGATATGACACCATCTGCTGATATCCAACGGCAGGAAAATGACTGACCTCTCTGAGTCTTCCTTTCCTAATCCAAATAGTGGAGAAGGTACCTGCCCTGCTTGCCCCTCAGGACTATCATGAAGAAGGTGAGGAAGTGTTTGGTAGCTATAAACTAGAGTTCACTTGTGAAGGGGTGAGATGATCGTGGCCACGATGAGACGAATGACCCAGAATCAGAACTGGGGACTCTCCAGAAGTGACAGAGTCAAACTCATGCTTGAATACCTTCTGCAAAATCCTGAGGAATTAGTTTTACAGGTTTGTTCTGAAAAATACTAGAAATGGGGACCGTTACTCAGGGGATTCCAAGAAGATATAGATCGTGGGGAAAGAGGACTTAGAATTCAAGCCAGGACTCAGGTTGCCAGGGCTTGCAACTCTCCCCACCTAGATTTCACATCTGGCACTAAAGCATCTGTGTATTTGCATCTCTTAGAACCCACAGCTTTGATCTGGTGTAGTCTTTCTAAAGAATCATAATTGAATCTTAATTCTCTTCATCATTCTCCCGATAATAAAAGAAATACCTACCATTATTGAGCACCTCTCATGTACTAGGCATGGCGCTAGCTGCTTTTCACACATTTTTATTTAATCCTCATTTAATACATTTTTCATTTCATCCTCATTTAATCCTAGTCTAAAAGGCACGTATTATCTCCCTTCCCGAGGATCAGAAATTGAGGCTCGGAAAAGTGAAGTCATTTGCTCAAGGTCACACAGTTAATAAGTGTGGCAGAATCCAAATTCAATTTCAAATCTCCTGGCTTCCGAGCCACCACCTGCCTCTCTGTCCTCAATGAACATTTCTGCCCCATCCATTTGCCGGTCTCTGTTGTATGTGCCTCTCTGCTGCAGATGTGGCTAGAAGAAGGGGAGCCGGCTGTTAACATTTTAATTATTGGTTTTTATTACAGGAGGTTGAAGTGTAAAAAGGGAGGTTTAAACGACCTTTTTACACTCACATGTGGATGGGGGCAGTTCTGACTTCTGCTCAGGTGCAAGGTTGCAGTGCGGGTTCAGTTTGACATGTCATTCCTGGGTACTTTGGGGCTTCCTATTGGACTCTTTTTAAACTGTTTTGCTGTTACTTCTGTAGTAAAGTTGGCCTCTGGAGCCTGTGAGAGTGTAAACAATGGGAAATGAAACTTCAGCTCCACCCTGGCTCTTCTTGTGATTGTTCGGCTGGGCCTACCTTCTTGCTGGGACTCCTGGGTCTGCCTGTATGGTTTCAGCTGAGAGTTGGTGGGTGAGACTAGAATCAGACATTTGGGTGCTGCACTATGGGTCCTGCCAGTGGCCAGCTCTTTCTGTACCTGTGCCTGGCTCAGACCACAGCACTCTTCACTCTGAAGGTAATAGTCACTGCCACACTCTGCCCGGAAGAGGGGCTGGCAAAGGTCTTTTGAATGAATCATCCCAGTGCTTGGCCTGAGACTAATTCAAGAACCTTTGGGAAAGCTGAAACTCTTTATTGTAAGGCCTGAGGAAGGAGAATGAAGTCCTTTCCAGGAGGGCAGGCAAGGTGGTGGTCTCTCCTATGCTACCTAGGCCGGGCTTGCAGGGCAGAGCTGTGGAACTGTCCTGGGGGCTCTACAGTGGGCTTTGAAAGCCTTTCCTGTCACGGTTTCCACTTTTTCTTCCTTAGTATGGAGCCAGGTTCTTCTGAGAGAAGGTCAGTCTGACCTAGAAGGAGACTAACCCTGGACTAGGTCGTCACAGGGTGGAGTGTCCCTCAGAGCTGGGTGAGGAAAAGTTCTGAGAGATGGCCACTAGGAAGGAGGGCATGTCTGGGGAAAGCAGCTGAGATGTCTGTCCTAAGGCCCCTCTGACCCGGACACTATCTCTCAGAGCTCCGCTCCCTTCAAATCTGAGAGGCTGGAGTTCATTTCTAACCCTTTAGGGGCACTGCAAATCTGAACAGGAAAGAAATTTACGAGTGTTCACAGTGGTTATCACTGGGATGCCGAAGTACAAGTGATTTTAATTGCTTATTTGTATATGTATTTTATATTTCTGTGATTTTCTATAATAAACATGAATCATTTTTACAGCCAGAAAACTACTGTGACAATCCAAGTAGTACCAAGAGCTCAAGAGCATGGCCATCTTGGGGAAGGGGACCTTTTAAATTATTGGCATTGCAAGGATAAGTCTCGCAGGGCAAGCTGCCAGTAGCAATTTCCAGGCCTTTTCAGCTAAATATCACTAGGGCACCCTAAGTTTCTGAGCTAAAAAAACCAGGACTCCAGGAACTGGACTTGACCTGGACCTTAACTGTGTCTGTGGTTCATGGTTATGCTGAGTCCTGTGAGGTCCTGGGTCATCTTTTAAGTTGACGGGAAGATCCATTCCAGTCAAACAGTTTCATGGGATGGGGATCCTGCTCTAGTCTGATTCTCTGAACACCTGTTATCCCCATACACACTCCTTATTAAAATTAGACTGTTCACCCACATTATTTAATATCCTGACCTAACCACATAAAAAAGATTTTATGGCTCCATGCAGTGGCTCTGACCTCTAGTCCCAGCTACTCAGGAGGCTGAGGTGAGAGGACTGCTTGAGCCCAGGAGCGTGAGGTTGCTGTGAGCTACAATGATGCCCAGGCAACAAGGTGAGACTATATCTTAATGAATAATACATATATTATTATTATTGTTATGCCATACAAGACACTTAAAATGTGTTCAAGTCTTCCAGATAAGAAATGACAGAGAGATTATTTATTAGGGGTCAGATGTCACTTGAATACACTTATAACAAGGCCTTTGTTCAAAGGCCACCTCATAATGCCTTGCCTGTCCTCTCCCAATAATGGCTGTGCACAGATCTGTCCTAGAATGCCTATTATGTTGCAGTGCTGATGTACAAACTGCTTCTTCAGACTGTGAGTGCCTGAGGTCAGAACAGGTCTGTGGAGTGGGATCTCCAGGCTGGGAACCTGGACTCACACACACTGGGTTCTGCCCGCTGCCAGCAGCCTGACCTTGGAGGACTGGCCCTCAGTTTCACCAGTATTGGGATTGGCATAGAGAAGACAGGCAGGATATATTGGTCAAACAAATAAATGAATGCAGGATTGGTTTGGACATGCGAGGCCTCCTTCCTGTGCCATAAGAGAGGAGAGACCATGACTCATTGCCACCCTCCCTCCAGCAGGACTAAGCAGAAGCTGGACACATAGCAGGTATGTGAAAGGCACCTGCTGAGTGCAGATACAGAAACAATGACTCTCCCTAAATGATGCTTTAGTAATCTCCCTAGGCATCTCCCCAGAACTTTAGTCTTGAAGACAGAAAGAGGCTCTTTTATAAAGGCAGACAATTGTAATTATTATTGAAGGTAGCCTATAATGCATAATTAAATTGAGCCTGAAGAAGAGACAGTGAAAAGGCCCCATGCCTTCAAGATTTGGTTTTTATTTTATATGAGATGGTCGGAAGAAACAGTAATTTCTACTCCTCACATTTTCCATTAGAAGGACTGAATGTCTTAATTAAATGAACATCAAATAGAACAACCAATTTATAAAACTTTCTTATCTCTTATTCATTCACTACAGAACCTTCTGGAGCTTGAGAAATTCCACTGGATCTGCCTGCTGCTTGATCAACACCTACGATTATCCCGTAGGAACCTTGTCCCTTCTGACTCTGCAGGGGAAGAACTGGAGCTGCCCGTCCTCTGGACCCTGCACACCTTTGCCCCTCTGCAGAGCCCTTTCTGCTCTGCTGCAGAGCTAAGAGCTGCCCCCACAAGCTGCAGGGACCTGGAACGGGCTGTTCTCTGTACCCTCTGGGCTCTGAGTGGCTGCCTCACACTCTGGCTCTGTGAGTGTGTGGCTTCTGGACAACAGATTATTACATCTGTCATGGCAAATTTTCTTTCTTTCTAACCAAGAGGAATAGAGGGAACAACTGGCATGGAGAAGCCTCTGGGGCCAGATGGGTCTCCGGAGGCTGTGAATCCAGGCCCTACACGTGCCAGTCGTGTGATCTTGGAGGACAGGCACTTGGTTCTGTGTTCCTTCTCTCCTTCAAGCCCCACCACAAACAGTATTTTTGCAGGCTCGTTATATAACAACCTCGCTGAGCCTCTGTCTCCCCCGCCATAAACGGGGATTGTAATACCTATCCCACAGAAACTGTACAGACCAAAAGAGGGATCTAAAATGAATAACCAACTTCTTACCAGGGCGTTCAAGAGACTCTCCTCACTGGAATGTCAACTCCCCAAGGCAGGGACTTCAAGGGGTCTCTGCTATATTCTGGTATCTTAGAGTTTCTGACATGTAGGAGACAATTATGTGAATGAATGAACACTGGCTGAATGGCCTGGCTCCTTCCTGCTTCTCCTGATTTCACCTTGAACCTCACTCCTCTGTATGTTCTGTGTTTTCCTGCATCTGTCTCTGGTCCCTACATGTGCCAAACTCAATCCACGCTGGGGGGGGGGGGGCGCTTGCAGGAATGCCCTTCCCTCCAAAGTTGGTGTGGCTGGTTTCTTGTATCACTCATGTTTTGGTTCAAGGGTTACCACCTCAGCGAGGTCTTCCCTGACACCACTTCTAAAATAGAGCGGTCCCCCCCCTGCATCACTATCTTTCTGCCTTGTCTCCTCTATACTTATCATCTTGTTTACTTGCTTACTTGTTTGTTGCCTGTCTCCTCTTACTAGAATACACACATAGAAGCTCCAGGGGCACAGGGGCCTCGCCTGTGTTCTTGATGCCCAGAGGAGGACACAGTGTGTAGAATGTGCCCAGCACATTTTTACTGAATGAATGAA